TTCTAACGATGCTCTTGCTCTGTGAGCTGGTTCTCCCGTGTATGCAGACACCACTTGTTCAGGTGACGCTTGCACCCAGAGCCATCACCACAACTATTTGCCATTAAATCCTCTAATGAGTGCGAGTCAATAGATGAGCAAAGGGAGCTGGTACAGGCAGTTTGCATACTGCGGGGGGGTTGGAGCAGATGAAGAAGTCGTCACCCAGTTCTGCAGAATTCACTGGGCCATGAAATCCAAAGAGCAAAGAGGAGTCCCTGCCTACACAACCAGCTGAGAGTGGTGGCTGTGGCTTGTACCACCAGGATGTCGAGAGAGGCTGTTTCCACCCAAAAATATTGTTTGCAGTTATATAAAAAGACCTGTGTTTTCAGAAAACACCAACACCCTGGTGTCCATTATATACAGAAATAATTATCATGTGGTTTATTATATACAGAAATTATCATGTGGCTCCCTGGCAGGACTGCAGCACCGCTGGGGTTGATCCTGACTTTCCCACAGAAGCTCCCTTTTTTTCCTTTACGCTTTTCCAGGCAGTTTCACGCCTGGATGCGGGGGTCTGGCAAAGTATCAGCCAGCGCTTGCATCTCGCTGTCTCTTCTAATGGAATCACTGTTTAAAAATAAGTAATTTTATTTCCCAGAAGATGCCCAGCAGCAGCATCCATCATTTTGTCCTAATTGACTTGACTTCTGTCGGTGTGCAGGTTACGTCGGGGCTTGGTGAAGAGCCAAACCTGCCATCAGACGGGGCTGGTTGTGGGCAGAGTTGTGCTTGGTCCCTACATGAGCGCTGACGTCATATAGGTGGTCTCCTAAACATGTGTCTGTACAAGAGAGATGGTAGAAGTGTCTCGGAAGCCTGTTAAGGACTTACTAAAGTAGAGGCTGATGTCTGGAACAAATTCTCCTCTGCAGCCTGTAGGAAGGGTCAGCCTTACTGGGACCAGTCAACTGCTGGGATGCAGTAAGTACGAGGGGGATGAAAGCAAAAGGATGAGGGCAACGGTCTTCTCCAGGCAGCAAGAACTTTCTAACTGCCCTTTGAGGACGTAACGTGCAGGCAGTCGTTGCCCATTGAACGGAGAAGTTGCTCTTGATAAGAAACCGGGTCTGAACCACTGCAGGATCCTTGAATCAAGTAGATCTACAGGATGAAAGAAGAGACTGGCATTTGTACCTGCAGTTAAAAGACAGATCTTTAAAGCTGGAGAATTTGGGTTTAGCTCTTAATTCTGACACTGTTTTCTGTGACCTTGGGTAGGTCACTTCGCTCTCTGCACTCCAACTGTGTCTTCGGCTGCAGAATAGTCATAAACGCATTCAGGTCTGCTCTTAAGTCATTAAACGACAAGATCTTCCACCTCTAATATGAAACCCAGTTGGTCCTTTAAATCATCAGAAAGCCAAAATATTATTCATAAGTAATTAGAAAATTCATAAATGTTCCTTCAATAGTAGCAATCACTGAAATATTTAAGGAATTAAAGCATGGATGGTGAATAGATGCGTGTTTCCAAGCTTGAAATTTAATAGTGTAAACTTTCTTTCACCTTAATTTCAGCTTAACGACCTTTTCCTGACTGAATCAGCTTATTGAGATGGAGAGGTAGAAGAGCAAAGTACCGTGGTGGGGCAGGGTTATACAGTGAAAACTTTTTTTTAGCCCAAGTTTGAGTGGAAGTGGGACTTGGCTCTGCCTTTGCTGCCACCAGTGCCTTGCTTGGGTCTTTCAGAGCACCAATGATCCCCAAAGGGTGTTTTCACAGTGTGTTGTGCTTGTCTGTGAAAGACATTGTTGGACTTCCAGGATTCTGCTGGACCTTCTCCATCTCTGACTCTTCCTTTGGGATCTAAATTCTGCAGCCACTTGGGGAAGCAGCTCCCCAGCTGTGCTACTTGGTAAAATCTCATTGTAGCGGTGAGATTTGGAAGGTCTTCTAGTCCAGTTTATTGGCTGATGCAGGCAGCTGTTTTCTCCCTTTCGGTCAACAAAGAAACGATCTTACTCCAGGGCAGCCAGCAGCTGTCATCTCCCCTTTTTGTGGCTGCACCAACAGGCATGATGCCGACATGACTGATGGACTGGAAACCGAACTGACATTTCTTCCAACCTCTTCCTTGTTGGTGATTGACCAGGCACAGGAGCAGCATCCAAGAGACTCGAGATCCCAGCACATGGAGCTGCTTGTGGAGCTGGTGGCAGGCTTCAGCATTGCATTGCCTAGCGAGGAAGACCAAGGACAGGGTTTGTAATCCCTATGTGGACTTGCAAATCCCTCTGTGGATTGCTCTTTGGATGCCATTCAAGAGCTGTCTTCCTCCCCCAGCAAAAGGTTTTGAGGCTGAAACCTCTTCTCACATGAAGAAAAGCAACGTGTGATCAAGAGTGAATGAGTCCAGTCATGGTGGGATCTGGAAGTGAAGCCTTTATTTAATGGCAACATTACGTGGGGCGTAAATCAGCATCTTCTCCAGAGCCCACTATCCCAGGACAGCATTTGCTTCATGTAGACATATGCTCAGTTGTTTCTCCTCACTCCAGCAGAACCAGGACCTAGAGAGATTCAGCTTATTGCTGAAGGTCCCACAGCCACAGGGCTCAAAACACATCAAGGACCTTCTGATTTCCAGGCATGGGTCCTGCTTGTGGTCAGAATTCAGGTTAATGACATTCCCCTCTGTGGGTTTGGGCTGCTTATTGCTGTGCAAAAGGGTCATAGAATCACAGAATCACAGAATCCTTTAGGTTGGAAAAGCCCTTTAAGATCATCAAGCCCAACTGTTACCCTAACCCTGCCATCCCGCCACCAAACCCTGTCTCTCAGCACCATGTCTGCCCGGCTTTTAAATCCCCCCCAGGATGGGGACTCGACCCCTTCCCTGGGCAGCCCCTTCCAGTGCCTGACAGCCCTTGCGGGGAAGGAATTTTTCCCAATGTCCAACCTAAACCTGCCCTGGCACAACCTGAGGCCGTTTCCCCTCGTCCCATCGCCCGTTCCCTGGGAGCAGAGCCCGACCCCCCCTGTCTCCCCCCTCCTGCCAGGCAGTTGTAGGGAACGATGAGGGCTCCCCTCAGCCTCCTCTTCTCCAGGCTGAACACCCCCAGCTCCCCCAGCCGCTCCCCAGCAGCCTTGGGCTCCAGACCCCTCCCCAGCTTCGTTGCCCTTCTCTGGACACGCTCCAGCCCCTCCAGGTCCTTCTGGGAGTGAGGGGCCAAAAGCAGAGTTTGACAATTAACAGCAACAGACTTCGATCTTCTTATTATAATTTGATGAGGGTTGCGGGAGAGGAGAAGGGAAGTCCTTAGCACTTGCCCCTGTTACAGACACTTGATGCTAAACTTTCTCTCCAAGCACATGCTGGCAGGAATCTCTGAGCGGCTCCTCTGCGTACCCGGCTCATTCTGCTAAGACACAGTAAAAATAGCAAACTAAGCAGGGATTTTAGCCTCAACTCACTGAGGCAAGAGTAAGTAAGTATTAAATACCTGTGACAACGTGAGGGCTTTGTATGCTGCTGCCCTGCCAGTACCCCTCCGACCGAACACCCGTTCATTCCTGTGGAAGCGGGGAACATCTTAGTTGGAAGCAGCATAAAGAGGCAGCTTATGGGATGTGACGCGTCCTGAACAGTCTCAACAAAGTGAAAATGAAGCCTGTGCTGCGTGAAGGACTTTATGCTGCATCAGGGAAAACACTGTAACAGCTAAAGCAAGGCAAGACCTCGGGTCTGGAAGCTGAACACAGCAAAACAGAAACCCAGCACATCCTCCTCGGTGTATTAGAGCATCAAGAGGGGCGGTGGAGTCGATGAGGTGGTAGAGTCGATGCCACTGAGTCTTAAAACCACTCAATATTAAACTAAGAAATGCTGGAAATTCAGGAATTTGAAGTGCGGGTGAGGTCACAGGAGGGATTTCCCAAAGGCCAAGTCCCTGGGTATGTCTGCCCGCTTCCCCAGGCTGGCGGTGGCTCGAGGGGCATGGGTCTGCTGCAGACACTTCTCCTGCAAATTCCCTCTCCTCTCAGGCCACCCGGTCTTTGCTGGTCCAAAGGGCTCACAGCTGGAGCTTGTACATCAGCTTGGCCACACCACGGCTCCGTCCCAGCCTGAGGGAGCAGCCGGGCCTGTCTCTCCTTCCAGTCCAAGGAAAGTTATTTGTGATATAAAATAGTGGGGTTTATGGCCTTTAGCAAAGGGGGACACCCTTGCCAGCCATCCCTGACCCCGTCTTGGCTGGAGCTGAGCTGGAAAGGCATCAGGCCATGCTGTCCTCCTGTCCTCTGCTGTCAGTGACCCAAACAGCAAAACCAATCTGGGTGGCAGAACCCCCTGATTTCATTTGTGAGAATCTTTTTTAGCACTGAAGCTGGGTTAAGGGGTTAAAAAGCTGGGGAATGGTTTGCAGTGACACAGTTTTGTCCCAGTGCCTGTGCCCAGCCCAGCCCCTGCCTCCATCCAGGGCGCTCCAACCCCAGGAGGCTGCATGGTCGGTCGGTCTGTCTGTCTGTCTGCCTGGAGAGGGAATTAAAAAAAAAACAACAAAAACCCCAGCCCTACCTGTGATTCGTTTAGCTATTTCGTGCTGTATTTTAATCTCTGAGCTCAGAACAAGGGATGTCATCATCATTATTTTAATTACAGAGATAGGAGTGATCGCTCACGAGGTCATTTGGCGAGCGGGTAGCCGAGCTGGCAGCAAACCCCAGTCCTTTTGCAACCTGGACTTTGCTTTGCCCGTGAAGCGATATTCCCCCACCGGCACCAAGCCTGCTGCTGAAATCCCTGCGTGCACATTTCCCTGTGTGTGGGACCTTCACAGGCGGGAGCCTGAAAGCCGGACTTAGAGCTAAGGCTTGGCTTAACACATTGTGCTCAGTTTGATGCAGGATGCATCCTCACCCAAAAACACCGGTGCCTTGCGCCGAGGTCTGCACAACGATGCCGGGCACATCCCATCCTGCCTGACTTTTCTTTTCCCTTTTGCCTTTGCAGTGAGAAACGCGCTCTGCAAGTCAGCGTCACCAACCCAGTCCAGTGCAGCCTGCATGGGCGGAAATGCACCGTCTCCGTGGAAACCAAGATTAACCAATCCCAACCGGATTTCACCAAGCATCGTTCCGGTTTCATCCTCTGCGTGCCGGGGAATTAGCATCCCCCTCCGCTTGGCACAGCAAGCCCGGAGAGCGAGCGAGCGGAGGGCGGAGGAAGGACGGACTGGGGCTTTGATCGCCCTCCCCGTGCCTTGGACTTTTCAGGGGGGTTGATTTAGAGATGCTCAGCTGTGACTTGGTCATGCGCCTAAAAAGATCTCTAAAGCTAGAGGTTTAGCAAACCCAAATTCAGGAGAGGGTTTTACCACCACATGCAATGAAGGCTTAAAATAGCCAGTGACCTGTATCCATCTTACAGAACAGGCCAGAATATCAGGAAAGTGCTTCTGAATTAGTCAAAAAAAAAGCATTTATAGGTACTTACACCCTTTCCTCCCTTTCCCACGTTGATTTCTTAAACTGTCTCCACTATTCCCTTCTGTGGTTCTTTTTTTTGTGTTTCATTTTTGCAATATCATGCAGCCTCCACCGGAGGAACCAAAGATCCCTGGCTCAGGGCGTCTGGTCCTGTAAAACCAAATCCCGATGGAACCGGTGCCAGGTTTGGAAAGGAGGGCTGGCTTCCCGCACCGGCGAGACTCTCCGCACTCTTCCAGCCCTGCTGGCACGCACAGAGTTGGGACGGTACATGGACACGCGCCTCTGAACTTGCTGCTTTCCTGCCTGGAGGCACCTTGGTTGGAGACAGCTCCACCAGCAGAAAGGAGAGAGGGATTCACAGTGCAGAGGTTTTATTTTTTTTTAATCCTGCATTGCTTTTGCCTTAATTACCCTCTCTGGGCACCTAAAAATCCGGTGGGTTCCTATTTGGACCAAGTGACCTTGCTGAATTTTTAGATGACCCATGTGGCTTCACGTTAGTCCCAGTTCAGGGAGGGCTAAAAGGCCCCGCAGCTGCCGGTGGGTTATTCTCAAAACACGTGGAGCTCGGGGGGGGGCTGAGGCTGCGGCTCCCTCGCTTTGCACTATTCAACAGCAACTCCGGGCACGTCCGTCCGCGCCAGGCCAGGGGCAGCGGCGCAGATCCGACTGCAAACATCCAGGCTGTTCCCTTCCAAGTGTTTTCCTGGATCCTCCCAGACGCAGGGGTTGGATGCTGGGGCGTTGTGCATCACCTTGGCTTGTCTGCTGGCATCACGTTTCCCCGCCGTGCGGCGCCCACATCTGCCCGGCTCAGATAACCTTGAACTCAGTGTTTATGGGAGGGCCATATGGACTAACAAGCCCTTTATTGCCGCCGTGTATGGGGCTGCCGCTGCGGTTGCTGAGCAGAGGCCACGTGCATTGCAGGGCTGCGGGGATTATCTGTACCAAGTCCTGGCACTGCTGGTCAGGTCAGGATTTCCAGCCTGTTGGACGTGGGGGGGGCGTCCTGCGTGGTGACCCCATCTTGGGGGTTCCCAGCCCAGCTGGCAAACAGGGAGCACGTGTTTAATTGAGCATGGAAAGCCTGGAGGAGGCTCCTTCACCTAACGACCCGTTACTGAAAAGCTTCCCAAAGCCATGCCATGGACACGGGGCATAGGGACAGTGTGCTGCAGCGCTCGTACCTGACCACTGGCTCCGAGCCCCTGGGCTAAGGGGTACCTCGAGTGCAGAGAAGCTCTAGATCCTTATTTTAGTGGGACAAGCTTAATCCTTCCTTTGCTCTTTGCTGGGGAGGCCCCACGCCAGAGCCCTCCCGTTCACGTGGTCCCCACCCTGGGACCAGCATCTCAGCTCTGCGTCCCAGCCACCAGCGCCCGCTCCCAGTAAGTGGCTCCTGCGCCAGAGGGCTCTGTGCATCGGGTCTGCCCCAAGGCCTCGGGCAGAAGCAGCTCTTCCAGAGACCGGCAAACACGAGTCGCCCGCCACCACCGGGGCCATCGGGAGCCTGGAGGCGCCGTCCCACCCCAGCACCAGCTCCTGACTTTGCCAAGCGCACACACAGGGCAGCTCGGGCCCACCGAGGACCCTTCCACCTCCTCACTTAATCCCGGCATCGCCTCCTCAGCGGCAGCAATGCCAGCACCAAAGCCATGGGAGACCCCAGCTCCCATCTGCATCTGCCCAGGGAAGCACCAGAAGGAAGAAAAAAAAGAAAATCCTCGTTGTTGCTGTGCCTTTCTATTTGCACTTCTCGCTTTTTGTATCTGCTCCTCCAAACGTCCCCCCAGCAGCACTAACCCGCAGGCCAGGCAGCAGCGGTAATCAGCACTTTTATACGCGATCCCCCCAGCAAAATGGTTGCATCGAATCACGGCGGATGGCAATAAATCGCAGGTTGAGGAAATTTCTAATCCTACAAGATGGCAATATTGTATGTGATGAAACGTGTCTTTATAGAATACATTATCTGTTCCTGCGCTGGTTTTATATATATATATAAAAAATATATAAAATATATCTATTCCTGGGCTTTCCCATAAATTAACTATTTCTAAATTGAGTCTCGATTTTCAGCCTGGGGCGAGAATGCAATGAACCCCTTTTTCTTTTTTAATCGCTGATATTTTAATGTGTAAAAGAGCAGAAAAAAAAAAGCCTTACTATAATGGACCTGGGTTCTTGTTTACATAATTCACAGCAATAAATTAAAAAAAAAAAACCAAACAATTAGTTGCATCCCACTGTGGCGGTGCCAGTTTCTCACCGGCGCGGTGGCTCGGGGAAGGCGATGCTCACGCGGGATGGAGGGAATGTGGAGTTTCGGCATCCCAATAACCCGATTTATTTTTTTTTCACCTCTCACGCCGGGGGCGATGCTCCTCCTCACCCCACGACGCCTCGCAGGGCCCCGCCAGCCCCCAGCGAAGGGGCGACCCCGGCGCCCGTAACGCGATTAGACCCGCCACTGCGTTAAACCCCTCTTTCGTCAAAGGCAAATCCAATTTCCCAGCGCCGTGAAGGAGGTGTCAGAGGTGTGGGATTGCAGAAAAGACTCCGCCACGACCCGCTGCCGTGTAATGGATGGTCAGTGCATTTTTATTTAATCAGCACAGTACAAAAATAAATAAAAATAAGGGGAGGGGATTAAATTACAGGCACACTGAGCCCCATGACACAGTCGGTCAGGTTATAAACCACACATACGTACAAACACACTATACACATACATACAAAATGAGACAAATATAAATTAATAAGTAACAATACCCACCAATTTGGTCAACAAAGATCTACAGAAGAGATTGCACTAAAAAAAAACGTACGTACACATGTCTCATTAGCGGGGTCCAATGTACAGCGATGAAGAGCTTCAAGTGAGAAATAAAAAATAAAAAATCAATGGCACGTTATTTCTCCCTCTCCTTTGCAAGTTTAACGCCCGATGGACCAGAACTAAACTAGAACTGTGCACACGGAGAAAAAAAAAATATAAAAACCCAAAAAAAAGCCAACTTATCAGTCCCCAGGCCTGATAAGGGAACACCAGCTCACGACTGCGGTATCGGGGTGGTGTCGGGTCTTTGTGCATGGGTGTAATTTTTACAGCCATCTCTCGTTAAGGTTTTTTTTCTTTTGATTATTATTTTTTTATGTGTTTTTTTCCTTTTTTTTCTTTTGAAGACACAAAATGCTCCTGTTTGCATGCGCAATACCACTGTAAAAGCAACAATGTAAGAATAAAGAAGGGTTTTTCCTTCCCCCCCTCCCCGTTAGGTTAGGAGTTGGGTTTTTTTGTTCTAAAAGTACTCATATAGCAGCATGTAGATTCTTTCCTTGCTTGCACACTCAGGTAGATCCTTTACACAATACTCATGATCAGTGCACGATGGGAACAAGACATTTCACAGGGATGTCATGATACAGTAGCGGCTCTTGCCCTTAACCCAGACCCGCTCGGGAAATTCGAGTCTCTTCAAAGAAA